CAGGGATGTGCTATTGCCACTGTTTGAAGAATAACAATCTTGTGGGGGTAGCAGTGCCCTGAAAGTCCTTAAGTTTGGCTTTTGGGACAGAGATATGTTGGCAGTACATGCATGAATCCTCATACCTTTCCTTCATCCTTCTGCAAGAGTGGCAGGGAAGCAGGCTCTGTGTTCAGCTGTCTTTTCATCTCTTTAAGTGCATTGTTTCCGATGTGAGCAAAAGAAGATCAAAGAAAGCATCTAGAATGGAAATTGTTTAGAATTGTTTATTGTGTTTCATAGCCTTGCCTAAACCTTGCTGTTGGGGGGCGGGGAAGGATTCTAATTACAATTGCTTTTTAATTAGGGATTTTGCCATTTCATCTCCATTAATTGAAAAAGTTAGCACAAGTGCATCTACCTTACCTCTCAGAAAAGCCCCTTACCATACTCACAACATTTGAACTGTGGCCTTGTGGGCAGTCCAGGAGACCCAGGTACCCCTGTGGCTGACTCGGTTTTCACTGAGAAACTGGTCCAGAATGGACAGACAGACTGGGTATATATAGGAAGAGGAATAAAAGTGATCTCTACAAAATATACCAGGCAGTCATCTATGTTCAGAATCTGGACTGGTGCTGATGCTGACTGAGGATCCATCTGTTGGCTGTGAGCTGCTGGCAGAGTGGAGGTTGTCTGATGGGCTTATGGGCCCTCCAGAACAGGAGTGCTGCTCCACAGACCTTAGTCACTCTTGTCACTATTTTTTTCCCATAACTCTCATAAACTCTGTTAGTGCCTGCAGGTCAGTAAACAAGACTGCCTGTCTCTAGCTTCAGAGCTAAGTAAACAATATCAGTTATGTTCTTATGAGCTTAATACCAGTCTAGAACTTATAGAATTGTTTTGTCTTACTGAATATGTACGTCAGCGTCATATAAACTTTGCTGTCACAAGTCAAATAAAACCATAGCCATAGGAACAATCAGTAATTTCCAGACGAGGCTGTTTGAGATCAGTTTAGGAAGAACATCTGTCTCCACATCTTTTTGCAGATTCAGTGGGGCTCACAGGAATCAATGAAGGTTTTCTTTAACTGCCAGGTAAACTGACCATGGCATTAGAGGGGCATGACATTTTCCAGATTGGCATTTAGAACAATCATGTTGAGATCCAAGCTATTTGTAAGGGTGTCCAGATGGTATTCTGTGATCACTACAAAGAAGTCTCTTCTTCCAGCTGGTAACATACTCCATCTCACTCCATCCTCAGTGAGAGCTGTGCATGCCAGGCAAGTAAGAAAATGGATAGGCAGAGCTAGCTACTGCCAGGTTTGGCACAATTATGGGCTTTCTTATGGGGTGTAAGTAAACCTTTCAACAGGAAAATAAATTTCAGGTTAGTGCAAGGACTCAGTCTAGACTAAGAAAATCAAAGCAAGTCAACATCATTTTGCCTCTGACCTGAAAAAGAAGAGAGGACTGCCTTTGAATAGCACAGATGAGTATTCACAGCAGCAATCTGAGCTTTGAAGCTTATTTCTATTTACAGGCAGAGAAGCAAGGCTTGTATGAGGGAACTGAGAGGCGAGTGTGACTGACTAAGGTGGGAAAGAAGAAAAGATGTGATGTGGGGGTTTTAATAAACTTTGCTAGTAATTTGGAAATGAGCTTACATTCAAGTTTTTCAGTCAAACAGTTATCAACTGATTTCATACATAAGAAGGTAATTGTTGCCTATTTTTTGCTTAGTGTCTTTTTGGTTAGAGTGCAGTATTAACTGTGCCTTGGCTTCAAACCTTCTTGATATCTTCATGAAAAGACACTTCCCCTCTTTTGTGCCTCAGTACCCAGATCGGTAAAATCACAGCTGTTTGAAATGCAGTGTCAGTGTTTCCAAGCAAAGAAGAGGAGTGAATTCTTAACCTAGTTTCAGCCATGGAATTAGACAACCAAGCTCTCAGAGTAATTCACAGACAAACACAAGATCCTTTGGCTTTATTTCCTGAATTCTGAAATAAAGTAAAAAAATATTTCACTCTTGAGAATAGCAGTTAAGCCACGTAATCTCTCAATGAAATTACTATATACATAGAAAGATCATACATCAATATGGCTTTTAGGCTGATCTTCTTGTTCCCTCACCTCAGAGCACGGATAATGCAACAGTGCTGGGTGGCTGCTTCCATCCATCCAGATATTGCCATCTTCTCAAATCACTTTCAGGCTGGGAAGGTAAATACCTCTTTGTCCATCTGCACATGTTATGTTGGTGACTGCAGGAAGGTCATGGCATATGGCTCTCCACAGTCCCACCACACTTCATGCACAAGAAATGGTGCAGATATAAGGAAAATGGAATTGTTCTCTATAGACATCAACAGCTTTTTTAATAAGGCTGAAAGTGTTCAGAAAAGTCCATCTTCACTACATTGCCACCCATTGAAGACCTACTCCTGTTTTCTATATACTAAAACACAAACTACTTTAGAGACTCACAAACCTGCTCTTCCCTTGGAGTCTGCTTCAGGCATTTCCTTTCTCTGAGTGGCAGAATAACTTTCACTTTTTTATTTGATCAATTTTGCTCTTTTGACATAAATCTTTCCCTGGCATGCTTTACTGTGACAGTTCCTAATATAGCTGTGCTTAATGAGACGAATTCCAATAGCGCAAGTACTGATTGCTGGATTAACTGTTTCATATCCATTTTTCTGGGGCAAGAAATAGAAAAACTCATCCTCCATCTTATGCTATTGTGGGACACATATTGAGAAAGTAAGAAAATTACAGCCTGAAAAATATTCCAGGCTGGAGCTTTTCAGCTCTATTCCCAGCCGATAAGATGGTCCGACTCAAGGCTAGGGAGAATTTCTCCCAGGGTGATAATTTGGTCAAAATTAAAAGGAATTAATAACAAAGATAAAACACCTGTTGTGGTGCATGACCAGGCCCTGGGAATGGGGTGTCTTCTCTCTGAACCAATCACCTTTTCTCTACTCTTGGAATTGCGAGTCATGCTATAAAACCAAGTGTGTTTCTGAATAAACTTGTCTCTTTCTTCCTGACATGAAAAACAACCACGTAGCTGTGCATCTTATTTCTGCTGCCCTTAAAGGGTTAAAACCCCTTTCCACGGCTACATGCTATTACAGTGGGACTATGCCTGCCATACCTGGAAAGCATTTAGTTTCCCCTTTGCAATTAACTTAATGGATGCAAGACTGCACTCTGAGAAAGAGAAGAAAAATAAGTAGTTATGGGCACTATATATCCTGTTAAATTTCTCAAAAAGAGGCCCCAGAGAAGAAAAAGACTTCATGTAAGAAACTGGATTAGAACTGAGGTAATTTATTGCTCTGATAAGATCAGCATTTATACATAAGGACAAGTAAATATTGACTAGGAAAACAAAGCCTAAGCGGATAAGCAGATCAGTCTGTTTCTCACATAAGAATACATAGGAATTTACAAGCTTAATAATGATAAGTTTTTCAGACTCAGAGACTTAAAACACATACCCTGAAAAAAAAAAAGAAAGAAGAAAAAAGGAAAAAAATTCCACCAAAACTAAACACAACAATCAAAAAGGATATCTCTTATTCCTGAGGTTCCCCATGGAACAAGAACTGTCATGGGTATTCATTTCATAGAATTATGAACATTTAACCATCCATCACTGCCATCCACAAAGCACTGTTCAGAAGATCAATTTATTTCCATCTTTTCTCTGCATTTAACTAGAAAATGCAACAGATAAGAGGAGCTTTGATTTTGTATGAATGGCCTTTTACAATCCAAATGTGCCTTTTGAAGCATGCATTTAAATCAGAAAGATATTAGAGGACATTTAGTAACACATTTCCACGTGCATTTCCTGGAAAGCAAAAGAGAAAATTATGGTGCAGTCTGTACTGCCTAATCTCATGGAAAAGTCCTTGTCATCTTGGACATCTGCTTAGATTCTCCCCAGTTCTTCGAGCACAGGACTCTCCAGTGAGCAGAGTGAGCCAGGGTGGGGAAGAAAGATGGTGCATTTTTCTGAATTTTGTTTTCTAGTCTAAGTCCCTGCATTTTGTCACCTCTGAAATTGCTTGAGGAATAGAATGGAGTAGTAGAGCTGCTATTCCTAAAGAAGCATTGTCCTAAAGAAGCATTAGAGTAACTTTAAAAAAGAATCCAGCTGGCTGACCTGACAGATGCTCCAAAGAATGGACAGCCATTTTTTTCAAAAGCATGGAAATGTTCGTGACTAAGAGAATTATACAATCTGTCGTTTCCTCTGTCTCCCTTGTCAATGCAAACTGGCAGCCAGGTAATCTTGGTTACTTCAACTTTGGAGTGTAGGGTATTGCTAAAGAGTGTTATAAAACATTGAACAAAGGGTAGCAGCCTATTAAAATTTTGCTTGTAGAGTCATAGATTGACAGCAGATGCACCAGCCTTTGATCTTTACCCCAAATAATATCTTAGTAATAAGCCTTTTATAGAACTGTGGGACTTACCATATCCATTGGCAAGCCCTTTTCATGGTGAGCAGTTCTCTGGAGTGGGGGTCTTTAAAAGGCATCTAAAAATTTCACCACCTGTTCTAAACCTCTATGATCAGTGAATGACAAGGGGGCTCTGAGGGGGAAAAACCATCTACTGATGGCAATGGTGGCCGGGAAACATGAGGTGCCTCGCGTTTGGCTACAGGTGCATACAGAGAGGGCACATGTGAACAGGTGTTGCAGATCGCCAGTGCCGGATGAGGTGCTGGAAAAGCGGTATCCTGGAAACACACCTCACAGCCTTCCTGTGCCTGCAGAGTGTGAGATAACGGAGCAAGCAACCAGAGCCTGACACCTCTGCATGGGCAGCCGGGGAGGTCGGGGCTCCTCCGACACCCGGCGGGCGATGGAGGCTGATGGGAAGCCTGTGTGCGAGGGGAGGGGGCAGAGGAGGAGGTGGCTTCCTCCTGACGCCATTTCCGAGGGCTGAGATATATAAATGAGCCGGTTGCTGCAGTGCCCCATCTGGGATCTTCAGCCAGGGCACTGGCGTAGATACACACGCTCCGTGCTGGTCTGCCCCCAGCACCTCGCCTGGAGCTCCCACGCCACGACAGTCTCGCCCTCTGCCCCTTTCTCCCTGCCTCCATCCCGCCAGCACCATGAGCCGGCCAGAACTGCTCGCCGTCCTGCTCCTGGCCGTGCCGGGTAAGTGGGGCTGGGATGGGTCCGTGTCCTCCTGGGCTCCCCGGCAGTGCTGCCCCTCCTGCCCCGCTCCGCCCGCGCCTCCAGCACCGCGGACAGGGACGGCCCGGCCCCTTCAGCACCGCGGACAGCGGCCGCCGCAAGGTCACTGCCGAGCGCCGCCGGGCCCTGACAGCCGAGGCGCCTTCCCTTCCCTTCCCTTCCCTTCCCTTCCCTTCCCTTCCCTTCCCCAGTGCACACATCCAGCTGCTGCACCCAGGGACCACTTCCATCAGAGAGAGATTCCCCTTTTCTCCACTCCCATTTTAGCAGAATAACATTTCTCTACTTGTCTTCCAGATGAGATGAATAACAAGTTCTCTTTTCTCCCCCCTCTCCTTACCTTACAGCCGTCTCCCTTCCTGTGACAAATGACATGAATAAGGGCGACACTAAGGTAAGGATGAGCCTGTAGTGAAAGGGTCACATGAAAAGAAAGGTTGGGATATTTCATCTCCACGTAGGCAGTTGGTTTTGGGCCGCTCCCACTGAAATGTCCTGTAGAAAGTGCAAGGAATTTGCATTGATCTCTATAGCAGGATCATCTCTGCTCCCTTCCTGACAGAATTTACCCTTTGTGCATCCACTTCTGGGCAGCCAAGGAAGTCCCTCAGGATGTGACAGAGGGATCGGGCAAGCTGGTTTAGAGAGGAGATGGAGGCTGGGTATAACTCTCCTTTGTCCTCCTATTTTCAGCCTTTCAAAGCTCCCAGCAGGAGGTGACTCAAGGGAGAGTGGGGGGAGATGTGATTCAGGAACTGTGTGTGTTTGGGGGCGTATACATCTGAGTTTGTATGTGTGCTATTTAAACATGCATGCTCTGGAAAAATAGGCAACTGGTACTCTCAGCTTGCTAATCCATCCTCAGTTCCTGATCAGCCTGTCTGGATGGCTACGAGCAGTGCAGGACTTGGCTGACCTCTCCAGCCCTCCTTTACAGGCTTCTGTGCACATATCTGTGTCACACCCTCCAACATTTATAGCTTCACTTCACAAATGTGCACTCCCAATGGCATGTTGGCACCTAAATGCTTGGATGGGGGGGTTTGTTGATCTGTGTCAGACATGACTCCCTAACCACCCTTCCCCCTCTTTCATGTGAGCTGATCTCTTGGCTGGCCAAATTAAAATTTCTTTGGAAGCTCCTGTCCATAAGGAAACTCCAGGTTTTTTTCCATTTTACTTCTTGAACCATTTTGTGTTATGAAATCTCATAGCCACATAATGTTTTTCCCCAGGCAGCAGCAAGGGAGGGCACATTGATGCCAGTCTCAGCCACAGGCTCCATTGCAGGTTACCTGCAGGATGTGTGCCACAAGCAACGCCTCCCTGTGTCCTGTGAGACATGCCTGGGCCAGGAGAGCAGTTCCTTGTTAAGACTTTTAGCCTGCTTAGCCCCTGCTGGGACTGAGCCATGAGCTGTGAGACACTGGGTGCCTTCCTCAGGCTGTGTGCTGCTGGAAGGGACAGGCACAGGCACTTACCACTTCAACTTTCCATGCCAGAGTGGGCATCTGATGGGACAATTCGTTAATCATATGATCTTCCTTATGAGGTCTATTCCCCAATATATTCTATGTGTACAAAATGGCACTTCTGTGACAGATGGTGCAATTCCATGGAAACGTTTCCACCAAGACTGCCCCCTTCCCTGGGTATTACACTGACACAGGCTGTAGCTGAGAGCAAAATCAGCTTTCTTCTGAATTTGCTGAAATTGGAAGAAGCCATTAGGGCTTTCCTGACTACATCATCCTCTGAGACACAGCATTACAGGGAAGGAATTCCTGGTCTTATGGGACAGATTAGGGCAGGGATGTCATCACATGAATACAGCAAAGAGCACTGCAGCTCTTCCTACACACCATGCTCTGTGCCACCAGCATTTCTGGGTGGCTCAGAGCTATGTAATGAGCAGTCAGCACCTGCAGGCCTTTCCTAGACAGTTCATCAGACTTTCCTTACACCAAGGGCTTTCCATACGGAGCTGAATAAGACCAAAGCATTTACAATGTCTCTGGTGTTTGCCCACGCTTGTGCTTGAAGGACACTATTTCTCACTTACAATCATACATTTTAGGAGGGCATAGCTCAGCTCAAATATGGAGAAGTCTGTCCTTGTAAGGGCACAACCCTTTAGAGATTTCTGTGTAGGGACATCATGAGCTGCTCTTAAGGATCTAGTTACATGCTCATAGTTAGATGATAGCTATGGCAAAATTCCAGTCCGAGTTTTTGCACTGGATTAATTACATTCATTTGGAAAGGATCTCCTCCATTTCCTGAAGCAGGCTGTTGTTTCATGACCTTGTGAAGTCTCACTCTGCAAGACCTCCTCTAACAAAAAGACAAGGAGAGTGTTGTGGGATGACTCCACTCTTCATTTCATTACTTTACAAAGCTCCTCCACAGAGCTGAATGTATTTCTGTGGTGAGTGATACGTCTCTTTATGCTCAGACAAAGACCTTAGATCAGCTTAGAAGTCTTGAAAAAGCTTGAATGGAATATTTCATTGAATCAGAGTCTTACTTCTCATGCTGAGAAAGTCTTTACTTCTGAAGCTGCATCAAATACTGCTACAATAAGTGGGTCTAGAGGTTCAGAAACATGAGAGGGAAATATCAGAATCTGGTGTTTTTTTCTATTTAGAGTGACTCAAAGTCATCTCAAATCAGTTTAAATGGATTGCTTGTGATATAGAATGATACCAGGGAAATTCTCCTGCTTTCTTTATTTTTTTAATCTTTCCGGAACCTTTTTTCATCCATTAGGCAATTTCCCTCAAACTATGTAAGGCATAGAGTTCAGCATTTTATGGCTGTGATCTGCAAAAGCAGAATTCTCTCCTTACACAGGGTGAGAATTTGCCCATTCCAGTTGTCCAGTGAATATATCCAACTGCTTGAATGAACAGCATTTTGGATGACTGGGGACTGCTGACTTGTGCTTAATTTCTACTGCAGCCACAGTGCTCTGCTCTCTTGAGAATGTACATTGTGAGGGAGGTCAGGGCTCTCAGGGCTGCCTGCTGAAATCATCAGGAGAAAGAGGTGCAGTGAATAAATGGTTTGCCTCCAAGGCATAACTCGTATTCTTTTTTTCAATTTAGCCTCTCTTTTTTTCCAGAGGCAATTGTGAGCCTTGCATTTTTCCTAGATTGCTTTATAAATAATCATCCTTTTGAACTAAGCAGCCTGATTCCTACACTACTAATCAGCACCAGACTGTAGTGAATGCTTCTGTCCTGGGTGATCATTTGGGTTTACATGACCACACACTAGGGTTCCCAGTAGGGTGTCTTGGCATGGCAAGATGCCTGCAATCTCAGTGCAGGTGACAAATCAGACAAATAACACTCCTGGCTACTGAAAAGGGTGGGCTCAGAGTTCATCCTGTCTGAGAAGCTGTGTCAGAACTTCTCTGCTTTCAGATGACCTGCCATCATGTAGAGCTCTTCCAGTCTGTAATAGATGGCTTGAACACTCAAAGCACAAGGTCAAATACTTGTCCAGAGTATCTTGTCCTTTCTAGGGTTTGAGAGCAGTATTTCTCATCTGAAGTAGTTTGCCTTACCTCACCTTCCATACCTGGCTTCAATCTAACTATGATGTCCTTCCCAGGGTTTGAAGAGCTCTTAAGATTTCAAGGTCATATATTGAACAGCTATGACCACTTTTTTCTCTCTACAACCTCCCACTGAGGCCTTTTATGAGATGTAGGTTGAGACATATTGACTTAAAAAAGGATGATTTTCTGTGTATATATTCAGATACCCTTTACTGTCCAGATGTGCTCAGATTCTGGGATTGTCTGAAGCTGTGCAATCCTCAGCTGAATTGTGTGTCATGTGGAAGAAGCTCTTTCCATTGTCACATGTAATTTGCTCACTTCTCAGTTGCAGGAGGTACCTTCTGTTCCTGCGTTAGGAAAAACAAGAACCAAACATTCAGTTCTGGCTTGACCAGAAAAGCAAGAAAAACCGTGCCATCATCTGCTGTACTTTAGCCTTGGTGACAAGTAAGAACAAAAGACAAAAACCCCCAGTTCTTTAATTTGTATTTTTGTCTCTTTCTAGGTGATGAAGTGCATTGTAGAGGTCATCTCTGATACTTTATCTAAGCCAAACCCCCTGCCGATCAGTGAGGAATGCCTAGAAACTCTCCGAGGAGGTACTGCCTCAGACTTAATGCCGGGTATCAGCAAAAGCAAATCTGCAAGTAGGGGCTGGTCCTGCCCTGACCAACTGAGCCCTGGCCTCTGGACCCCTGTCAAGGGGTCCCTGACACGTTCACCTTTCTCTTCCAATGGGCTGTACTGGGCCCCAGGAGCAGGGATGGAGCCACTGCTTGTCCCAGGCCATGCCTCGTGCTAGCACTCTGGCCACGGAGGTGCTGGGTGACATCAAACTGCCTGGTTTCCATAGGACCTTCCTGTTGTCTTAATCACATGGTTAAGAGATGTGAGAGCAAAGCAGGCCAAGGGGAAGAAAAGAGCAAATGAAGGAGTGGCATTTGGAGGTCTATTTGATTTCCTGGGGTTGGGGGAGGTTTGTTTTGACTATTTTCTGTACTAAGTCTCCCATGTTGCAGATGAACGAATTATTTCTATCCTTCGCCACCAAAACTTATTGAAGGAACTTCAGGAAATTGCTGCTCAAGGTACAGTGCCACTATAGGTTTTTGGAAATGTAACTATAGGGAAGATTGTTTTCTCCTGTTGTAGTTCCTTATACAGTTTTACTGCTTGTTTTGTTTTCTGTTTGTTTTTATATTTTATATTAATTCAAGATCATATAAATATGCCCGAGGAAATGTAGTTCCAAGATTTTCAGCAGAGTTTGTGTGAGTGGGGACAGGAATTTTGTTTATAGTAACTCCAATATGTATCTGATAATTTCAATAGCTATCAATGTAACTTGGTGGTGGTGTAGAGTCTAGACATTTTGAGGTGGGAGAACTCTAAAAGGAAACATTGTAATTTAATTTAACAAATAATCACCAGCTCCCAAACTAGAATGAAAGTCAAGAAAATCTCCGTGTAGCTGGAGTCCAACACTAAACCCAGATGTGGCAGCAGGGAAGCCCCACTGTTTAGTAAGACTTGCACTCTTTTAGTCACTACCCAAATGGTGGAGGGGCCAGTGACCTCAGATGGACTCCATGGATGCTCTGGTGATCCAGACATGCTCTCTTCAGTAAGCTGGGACGTGGGTGCCCAGGCACACCAGGGATTTGGGGAAGAGCACTCAGAGATCTGACAGGCTATGCCACTCAGCATGGACTCCACAAGAAGGGACTCGTTTCATGGAGGTGCACCTTGCTCCACTCATTCCTCAGCCTGAGCCCATCACACCACTTAGTCCCCAGGTAATATGAGACCCAATCTATAGGTCACAGAGAGTAGGGGTGGAACAGTCTTGAAGACCAAGGGAAAAGCAAAGGTGTTAATCTTGGTGTCCTCTGCAGCTGCTACTGCTCAGGCTGGAGATCCCACACCACTTAGTTCTGGGCTAGAGGACTGGGCTGACAGCACTAGCTCTTGCCCTTGCATTAAGGCATAGAAGCAGGGCATGAGCTGGGTTAGATAGGGCTTGTTTGGCTTGCAGATCCCATTGCTGGTTGAGAGGACAGCTGCAGCCTGACCTCCAGCTCATGCTGCCTTCAGACACCTCTCTCCTGGGTGTAGTATTTTTCTAGCAGGCTCCATAGTCCCAGAGCTAAGGCATGTGGCCTTGGAGCCCCACACTACCCCTGCAGTGGGAACGAGTGCCGCTTCTTCCTCCTAGCACCCAAGGGAGAGGCGTCCCTTAGCCAGGCTGGAGGATACAGGAGCTCTCAGTGCTCGCCTCAACAGAGGTGCGTAGGCAGAATCTGGCAGGAGGCAATTTTCATACTTCAGTACTCTGGTGATGAAGTCTTTTGTTGCCCTCAGTGTGCTGCAGTTCAGCACCTCTTATTCCCCAGCTCTCCACCAATATTGGTTTTCCTGGCAACCCTGCATCTCTATTTAGAGACCATTTTCTTTCCTGAAGATGATGTTTTTGATTGTGGTTTTGTTACTGCAGTTGATCTACATACCCTCCAATCTGACTCCTCCCAGGTAGATTTCTCCACTGTAGCAAATATAAAGGGAGCAGAACTATTTTCCTACCTCTACTTTCTGAAACACAGAAGGGACTGTTGCCTTTCCCTACTTTTTGCTACTTGACACAGGTGCCAACGAGAGAACTCAGCAGCAGAAGAAAAGCAGTGGCTTTGAAGATGAACTTTCTGAAGTCCTTGAAAGTCAGAACGACAAGAACAATCAGAGAGGTCAGTGTCAGCCTCCACCCCCGGGAAATCCAGGTCAGGCTGTAAACAAAGATCTTCTTTCAAACAGCCTTGATATGTCCATCTGCTTCTCTTTTAGGCATCTTTTTTGATGCTGCTGCTGACACACACAAGCAACCTGGTGGTTGCTTTGTTCTTATTTACCAGCTCAAACAACATGTAGTTTCTGAGCTACAGTAACTGGTCAAGTTACTAATGTGATAATGACTTTTCCACCCTGCTGCTGACACTTTCACTCACTTACAACTCTTAAAATGAGTCACAGCCAGGGAAACCCCTGCACTGAAAGAGTCAATGATAAAGGCAAAGGGGATCTGGGCTTTTGCCTGTCACCCTTGTTTTCAGGAATCTAAAATACTAAGTAATGAGTCTCTGAAGGGAAAACTGAAACACACACAGCACATACACCCACACACCCACACAAAACACCTGTATCTTGGAAAGATCACCTTCAGCTGGGATTTCCCTTGCCAGTGTTTCTCTGGCCTTACTACAGACAGGCAGTTTAGCAGAAAGGAGGAGTTGGCCTCTTCCCTTTCCCTTGTCAGGAAGACACAATGCCAATGTGGGGTGATGTGACTCCTTGTCCAGCAGCAGCTGGGCACCCACAGAGGGTCTCAAGCACCTCTGGAGCACATGGCCTGCCCACAGCAGCACAGCACTTCTGTGACGCCAGTCCAAAGCTGCTTAGAGCAATAAGGAGTGACGCCCCTAGGGGATGCTGATGCTGCAGCCAGCACCACCAAAATCCAACAGGTAGGATGGTGGCACTGCATCTCCCTACTGCCAGGACACACCTGAAAGTCTTGCAGAGTTTCAGAGGAAGATGAAGTGAAGATGTAATGTGGCACATGGGCCATCCAGACCACTGACAGTCCGATGACACCAGCACAGTGTCACTGGTGCCACTAGCCTTGCATGACCAGCTCACTGCATCCCCTCATCCTGGCACACTCTCCAGCACTCCTTGGGGCTGCACTTTCCTTTCCATATCTCTCTAGCATATAAGCTCCCATATTTTCTTTGCAAAGTGTTTTCTCTGGCTAATAGTGTTAAAAGAGGCCAGTCTCCCCTGAGCAAGAGCAAATACTCAGCCCACATTAAGCTCCTGCTGCGTAGTTCATTTGCAGAAGCAGAGACACCCCTCCTCCCTCCAGCACCCTGTGAACAGGGCTGGCTGCCTCTTCAGCCTGGTGGGAGAAATAAGGATGTGATGTGAGTGCAGCACTCAGAGCAGAGAGAGCTGTGCAAGTGCCATATTACGCTCCTAAATAATTTCATTTTACATGCAGTCTGGTTTCATGCAGGGTGAGTTCGTGGCTGGCATCTCAAGAGATGGTGATGAGGACGGTGCTGCAGCAAAACACTTCAGCATATGTTTAACTTCAGCCTTGCAAGTCTCTCCAGGAGCACAGGCACCAGAGAGAACACTGCCTTGCTTGAATACAAACATATGATGAAGTGACTTGCAGAAGGATCTATGGACTGGTTAAGCAGATTGCTGAGCAGGGCTCAAGCTCCCTAAGAAATGCTTGGCCTTTGCTGGTTGTGAAATGAGCTCTCAGCAGAGGTGTTTCTTCTTGTTTCCCCCCTCTGTAGATGCAACAGGGGAGAGTGCTGAAGAGGAGCAACCCACAGGGTCCCTGGCACCACAGAAGCCCCAGCAAAGTGAAGACTCAAGAGAGGAGGGAAAAAACAGCCTGGAGGAGAGGGAAACCAGGCCATGGGATACCAACCCTGTTGAAAAAGAGGATCGGGAGGAAGCTGAGAGCAATGACATCAGGGATACAGAGGATACCCATCGAAACAAAGTTTTGGACAACCACATTGGCAAAAATTTCAGTGAGGATGAGCAGCAGCAGCAAGAGGATGAAGAGGAGGAGCCCAGAGGCTCCAGGGACAGCCTGGAACTTGAGGATGAGGGAGAAGAGCCATCCAGACAGGGCCAGGAGCACAGCAAGGAGGTAGCAGGGGAACGTGTGGAGCGGGAGGATGATGGAGATGAAGCTGCAGAGGAGGACCCTACTGAAGCAGAGAGGTCACTTGATTTGGCTGAGGAGGATGAGAAGGCTGAGGAGATGCAGGGAGGTGACAGTACGTATCCCAGACTGCATTGATGCCTTCCTGGGGTGAGCTGAGAGCACTCAGACACATTGGGTAGAGGCTTCAAAGCCAAGAAGTTGAGGCAGGTGCTTCCTGGGTCTACAGAAATACAGTGGCCAGCAGCCACCCAGACCCCACCACAAACATCTGACACGCAGGCCCATGCACAGCAGGTAACACAGGCCCTGCATCTGCCTCACTGCTCAGCTGTCATAGCTCCTGGGGACAACTTCCCTGAACTTCCTACAGGGGTTTTGACTGCTGCCTTCAAGCCCCATTACTGACATGGCAACACGAGAGTGGGTATTTCCAGAATCTTGGGAAAGCAGGCCTAAGCCAAGAAATACATGTGGCATCACCACTGAAGGCTCAGTTCAAAGGTGGACCTTAAACAGGTTAACAGTTGTGCTCACTGCTTTGTTTAATGCTCTTTCAGATAACGATGATGAGCTGGGATTTGGAAAAGATGTGCGGAGCTCTGAAGAGGAGGAGGAAGAGGAGGAGGAAGAGCAACCCCGGGCACTGAGAGGAGGAAGGCATCGCCTGGAGGATGAGGAGATGCAGGGAGAAGAGGACACCTTTCAGCCCAGGGATGCCAAAAGTGATGAGATAGAGGAGGAGTCCTCCAGGGAGTGGGAAGACACCAAGAGGTGGAACAAAATGGATGAGCTGGCCAAGCAGCTGACATCAAAGAAGCGCATGGAGGAAAATGATAGTGAGGAAGACCCAGACAGGTCCATGAAAAAGACATTCAGGTCCCGCAAGTATGCCTTCAGTAGCCCAGAGGAAGATGTGAGAAGGTCATGGAAGCGTCACTCGAAGGAGGACAGCAGTGAAGGAGGCTTTCCACTTGCTCCCATGCCTGAAGAAAAGAAGGATGAGGAAGGCAGCGCTAACAGGAGAACAGAGGTTGGTGTACACAGGCTTAAGAATAAATCCCACCCAGTTATCCAAACTTCACTTGGAGATGTGGATGGCATACTGGCATTAGTGTAGCCAGCAGTGGTCCTCTGTGACACTAAGTTGATGCTTAGTGAACTTCTAGTCATTCAGCCTCGGGTATTATTGAAGTTTCCACCTAGCTGTGCCCTTGGTTTTTATCCATGTTTTAGTGACTAGCACAAAAGCACTCCCTGCCCCCCCAGAGTTATGACTCCAGTGACAGGACTTCTGCACTGGCCTGTGCTGGACATTGTGACCAGAGCTATAACTGGAGGCTAGAGGTGGTCCTTGTGTCCCAAAGCCCTTCCAAGTCAAAAGGAATGCTTTCCCTGTCTCAGGGATGGAATGAGTAAAGTCAGACCTCCTACAGAGGTAAGTCAGGGGTACAGCTGTGGTGAGAGACCTGAAGCATTGGAATGGAAATGGTTGACAGATAAAGAAATTAATCTGAGCCAGGCTTCCAAAGTCAGAGATCTGCTTCCCTGATACCTTGTGCGATGCTAGGTAAGAGCTCAGTACATCTCCAGCAGCCAGGAACTGCTGGTGGGTTCACCTTTGTGCTGAGGCCCAGCTCCAGGCAGGGTGAATTTGGGATAATGCAGGGGACTGGGCAGTGAGGCTGGGCTTGCCTTTGTGGGCTTGGGATAGGCTATGATCAGGTGCCTGGGAACAGGCTGGGCCAGCAGGTGAATGAAGCCAGTCAGTTCTCTTGGCTCCAAAACACACCCCCTTGACTCAGCCATGCACCAAACTATTGGCCAAAAATTGCCCTTTAGCATCCCCCCATGAGAGCATCTCCAGTTGTGCTGTTCAAAGCAAAGCCAACTGTCTCAGCTGGAAGCAGGAATGCAGTGGGGTGGGCTGCCCCATCTGCTTCCCACCACTGTCTGCTCACATCCCACATCTGGCCCCCTGGGAGGCTGCTCCCTGCCTGCCCCTGTGAGGGGTTTTGGGGTGTACCTTGTCTGCAAGGTGGCAGACTGAGTCTCTAAATGGAGATTGGAAAAGAGGTTTCTGAGGCTGCAAAACTGCTGTGTTTACAGATGCAATAAGACTTTTTTGTTTGCTTGGCTTTTTAAACTAGGTCAGGGCCTCTGGGAGTCAGTGAGAAAGGCTGGGCCCACAGCAGTGAGGGAAGGAACAGGCTCTGGCTGCTCTCCTGTCCCCTCTCTTCATTTTTGGGCCATGGGGCTGTGTGGATTGCCCAGTGAGGCCAGCATGGGTACAGACATGGGCTGAGAATGTTCCCTGCACTTTCCAGGGCTCAGCATGTGGGGCCAGGCAGATGCAAGCCAGAGCACACAGGCAATGGTTTGGGTCTAAGCAAGCTCTCTCTGGGTGCTGTAGAAGATTTCAGAACATATTTTTCTCCCTTTCTGGGGGCTCTAGTTGCAGCCCAAGTTCTCCTCCAGCAAGGTGAGTCTCAGCTAGCTGCTCCCTGACCCACTTTAAACAAAATGGAACAGCTGCTTGGGCACCCTGGGTGCTTGTAGGCACCCTGAGTGGCTGGCACCCTACTGTAGCCAGAGCTTTCCCAGGGACTGAGCCAAGGGCCCAGTGGAGGGGCAGGGTGACTTTTTTCCTTGTTCAGGAAGAGGAAAAAAATTCCTTATTTTTACATACTTACTTTCCTTTTCTCACACCAGCCACATGCAGTGCAGTGGCTCAGTGTCACCCTGTGGTTGGCAGCTGCTGAAGGCAGCAGCAAGGCTTTGCTCCTCCTGACAAAGGAGAGGGGCCGTCACCTCGGCTCTGTCGACAGGAAAAGGTACAGCACCAAGTTTGCTCACACAGCCTGCTGCTGCTGTGCTGAGTGCATGGTCTGCAGAGAGCCCAGGTGACCACACCTGTGGTCACAGGCAGGGCTGTGGCTGGCAGTGAGGCAGGGCCAGCTGGATATGATCTGAGTTTGGGCAAAGCCACGCAGCCAGGCATCTGAGTACCTGCATTAACTAAAGCAGCTACAGGTGAGAGCATAGATACAGGAGAGCATAGATACACAATAGCTAGTATAGAAAGACCACCAAGTCATGGGCAGCTTGAGCCTTTGAACTGATGGCTTCCTCAGTCACTATTTTCCCAGAAAAAGTGTCTTCTTCTAGCGGAGGTGCAAGCAGTGACCCAGGGCAGGGTGGGAAGAGGGGGCACCGCTGTCCAGTGCATGGGCAGGGCACATGCTGCACTTTCCGCAGGTGGCAGCAGCGGTGCCCACCCTGGATTGACGGCTCTGTCCCAGTGCTGGCACCCGGTGCTGCTCGGCAGAGCCTGCCCCGGCCCCCGCGCCCTCCAGCCCCGTGTTCTGGGGGCACACACTGCCTGGCAGGGGACAGGGGAAGGACGGCAGCTGCATGTTTTGTCCCCATCACTAGCAGCAGTAATTAAACATTAGGGCAGAATTAATCAGTGTCCGTCCAGAGGGACGAATACAGGCTGAAGGGATGGGGCAGGCAGGCAAGGCTCTCAGTAGCTCTGGGGGGCGAGGGCTGCCCACCTGTGGCCACTGACACGTCCTGGGATTTTGTTGCAGGACCAGGAGCTGGAGAGCCTGGCTGCCATCGAGGCGGAGCTGGAGCGCGTCGCCCACAAGCTGCACGAGCTGAGGCGAGGCTGAGGGCCCAGCGCTCCCCGTGCCGGCGAAAGCAGCGCCGCCACCTCCACCCTCCGCCGCGCGTCCATTTCCCGATCTAACAGCAATTAAGCCGAGCAGAAGCACCGTGCCTAGGACCCGACCTCGCTAGCGCCCAGGCCTGCCTCCCTCGCCATAGTGTTGTGCCCATCGCCGCTGCCTCACCTCACGCTCCCCTCTCCACACGGATGCCCACACGCCCGGCAGGGCGCCCGTGGGTGCGAAGTGCAACCTACATGTGTATTTTCTGTCTGGGTGGGTTTTTCTCCCTCTTTTTTTTAAAAGACAGGACAGCTTTCTAGAAAGTTCTTTCACCGGTAGTTTCACTGGGTAAAAAACTGCAATAACTTGTTATCTTTTGATTAAAAGCTGAGAACTCTGACTGTAATATATTCTATATAAAAAATTTATCTAAGGAAAAATAAAATTGCAGTGGGTTCCTTCCTTTGTTTTGGCAGCTTCAGTGTGGGTTGTCAGCACGCTGCAGGGCCTGAAGGGTCCTGCAAAGAGGGTGGAACAGAGGGGTCCTCCCTCCCTTCCTTCCTCCCTCCCTCCCTTCCTTCCTTCCTTTCGTCCTTCCTTCCTTCCTGGCCCTGGCATGGAGGACATTTCCCTGTGCTCCCGAGCACAGTGGGGCTCTCCCTGCCCACGCAGGGGCCGCTGGTGCCGCACTGCTCAGCCCCAGCACTGGCTGTCCTGGGTGCTCCAGTGAGACTTGGGTCACACCTGGTGAACATACATCTCTCCCATCCCTTGCAGCCCACAGAAGAGCTGAGATGCTCATGGAACCCCTGTCAGGCTTTGAACTCGACTTATTTTTTTTTCTGCACAAAACCTCAGTGCTGTTGGCCTGTGGCGTGCATTACAGAGGAGTGGGTGTGCGGGGTTCCCTGGTGCAGGAGGTGCGTGGTGCCCAGAGCTGTACCTCACCCACGGGATGAGCTTCCCCAGGGAGGGCCAGGAGCCAGAGTGGGCACTGCCCTCAGCCCCAGCCCTGGGCAGACACTCAAAGGGAAGAGGGGGTGTTGAGGACAAGGCATGGCCCCAAAGCTGCCCTGGCACAGGGGAAAGTGCACTGGAGCAAGTTGTGAGTCTATCAACTCTGTCCTGAGGAGATCACACTCTCTTGAACTTCAGGGAAACATGGAAGAACCAAAGTGAAACTAAAGGTGTTGCACAGAAACAGTACTAAAATGTAAATTAGGGAGTTATTCCACCTAAGAAACAACATTTCACATATTGATCTTCACCTAAATTTTAAATTGAATACTGTATTTTTAATCTGAATATTATTGTACTTATAGCTGGAACAGCTTCCCCAGGGAAGTAGTCAGCACCAAGCCTGACAGAGTTCAAGAAGCATTTGGACAATGCTCTCAGGCACCTAGTGTGATTCTTGGGGTGTCTTGTGCAGGGCCAGGGGTTGGACTTGATGAACCTGATGGGTCCCTTCCAACTCAACATACTCTATGATTTAGTTTCTCCCTTCTTTTTTTTTGTGACAGACTCTTTGCCAGTAGCAGCATGCATACAACTCCTTGCAAACTCAGGCCTATGTGTCACAATAAATTCACAGAAACCCTCAGACTTCTACCACACCTCTACCAAAAGAAACAAAAAATCCCCACTTAACAAAAACCAACCCCAAACCCAAGATACCAAATAACCCCCACAGAAATGCAGCCACATCCAAAGGAGTTAGACAAGCTTTTTCTCAAAGGATGGCAGCAGCAGCAGACAGAAATAGTCCATACCTGACAAAATCAACAAGAGGAAAAATAATGTTACTTGATGGAGCTACTATAAATACTGTCTTAACTGGATATTCAAGTAATCACAAATATTTGGGACTCAAGGACTTTCTTCAGATGGAAAGATGGTGTTTTCAAGGCCTGAGTGTGGGGCTGCAAACAACTGCACTTGGAAAGGATGTGAACATTGAATTCTCATGAAAACAGGCCTCCCTGGATGAGCTGCTCACCTCGCTGCCCTATCTGCTCAGAAAGAGGAAGCAAACTAGAACTTGTTATAAGGCATTTATTTTCATTATGTGTTGGAAAGGGACAATCCTCTCTTCAAAACAATTACAGAGATAATGCCACAATACCTACTGCATATTGCTTTACTGTTGAAACCAAAACATTGTCCAAAACAGGTGCTTGGCAAACGAAAAGAAAATTAATATATTACCATTGAAATGAATGCTGTTAGATGAAAGCACCATCTCCATTGTCTGATCTGATCAGTCATGCAATTGAAGACGCCAAATAGCAAGTATTTTGGGTTTTACAGTAAGCCATGATCTTTTAAGGGTTTATATAATCCTATACAAATTTAAGTACAAAACGGGAATTATGTTTCAGAAATCATAGTGAACCAGGCTGAAGCGAATCACAAGACACACTTGTTAACACTTTACAGCTGGATTTGAACACAGATACCAATGAACTTGCGAAACTGAGCACACGCACACAATGGTCCCCGAGATTCAGCCATGCTTGGGTGGGAAGCAGTGCTGGAGACTGAAGGACAATATCCAACACTATTGACACCCAGAGGGCTAATTCTCTCACAACTGTTGGGATCCCAAGGAATTGTTACTCCATTTTAAGAACGACAGTGTTTTTCGTATGTTGTTGTCACAAGGGTATACACAAGCTGTATCAAATACTGAATCAGAAATAAATAATAAAAGATACATCTAACACATCTTTTATTTTTTAATTTTTTTTACAGCACTGACTTTACAAGAGGATAAACAACTCATCTTTAGGGCTGCTAACATCTGAAACAAAGAAGTCACTATTTTATACTCAACATATTCTCAACCTTTTAATAACTTTATATATGTATATATGACTTTTCACACAAAAAAAAAAGAAGTTAAAATAATTTATATCTAAAACTACTGTGTAAAGAATGAAGGAAGAAATAAAATGTGGGTTTCTTTAAAAATGCTGGAAGAGGAAGACCTGATTTTCATGAACTCCATTTGCTGTTTCAGGTATTTCTGGAGTTTCACGAGATTTCCTGGCCATCAGCAAAAACTTCCCAACACATTGGGAGCTGTCTGCAAACTCATGACATGCTAGGTAAGGTCATCTGCTCATGAGTTCATGTGGGCCACAGGCATCTGCTATCATCAGCCCCAGTGGATTCAGGGTAAGAATATCAGAGAGAAAGAAAACATCACCCCAGATTTCTATTAAAAACCACAAAGTGAAATTCTGGACAACTGGTACCAGGATATCCACTGGCCAGGATTTTACTCCCAAGCCCTATCCTCCTTGCCCTCCTTCTGCATGACAGATAAAGGATGTTTTTCTCTCAATGGATTTTTTTATTTCCACAGGAAAGCTGCCCCAAGAGCAGGGTGGACCAGATCCCAAGAGCCACCTGCACACACAGAGCAAAAACAATTCCCTTTGCTTGCTACAAATGCTACTGTGCTTGTGTTGCTGAGGAATCGCTCCAACATCTCCATTTATGCCTGGATCCTCCCAAACTTCAACCATCTCAAGTAACTTTTGTGGCCATGTAAATGTGACAGAATCCATGGAGGATATGAAACCCATCCAGTCAAAAGCTCAAGTGCTGATGGCCTGGATCCACATAGGGTGAACAGTGAAAGTGAAGGTAGTAAAGATGTGGAAAGTACTTTTCTGGAGGTTACATTCCTCTGAAATAGATATTAAAGCAATATTACAAATAAAATCAGCAATGTGATCTGCAATGGCATGTCCATTTTTCTATGAAAGCGAGAGGAGATTATATTAAAGGAAATATTTTAATCTACACAAAGCATTTTCACATATTCCTAATTACGAAACACACACAATAAAGTAATTGTATACTGAGTACAGAAATCAATACATCTCTTACTAAAAAGGAGAGAAGGGGAAAAATATTAGCAGGGTAATGCAAGTGAACTCCTGCAAGTGTGTGCATGGAGAGACTGCTACAAACTCAGACTCTTCACTAAAAAAACCAAAATCCAAGATTTTCTGCACAGCTGTGGAAGGCAAGGCTAGAAGCTAGTGTGGAAAAGCCTGACTCACTTGTCACTGCTGCCATGCAAAGACTTGAGGAAAGCAGTGTTAGTCTAAGAACTGAGAAGTCTGGATTTTTTAAATTGGATTAAAACAACAGGAGCATTTTTCCTGTTTTGCTCTTTTTGCCAGGCAATTCAAACACTTCTGGCCCCATTTAGTCTACCTTTGAACTGTGTTCTGCCCCTATTATCTCTATTACTCCACCTGGTTGTTCCCTGGCTGGATACTGCCCACAGTTAATCTAGAAAACTTGAGGCTTTTTCTTGAGCAATCCTCATTACCTTGTGATGCCTCTGGGTTGGGTTCTTAACTTGTAATCATCTACAATGAGAACAAATTAAACTGGTAGATTTCAGTCCGTGCTGCAGACCTCCTCTGCAGAAACATTCCCACATTGATGATGGAAATCTTTAAACAGCTTTAACATTACAACAGTCCAAATAGGAATAATGAATCTATCCTACCTATGGACCAGCCCAGTCAATCAGCTCCTCAGCTGATCAGCTCCTCAGCACAAAGGTTGTACAGTCAGACACTTCAACCAAAGGCAAAACATCACTGGCTCAGTGGCTCTGCATTACACAAACCACAAGTGCTAAGCACTGATGCTGATGGTTTGGTTGCATTTCTGCAGTTGGCTTTCACATAATGATCAGGATGTTCTGGCATAGGCTACAAAGTCAGGCACAATGTGGCTAAGTCAGCTAGATGGGGAAGAGGGTGACTTTTCATCACAGGCAGCAGTAATACCACTCAAGTTCTCTTCAACAGGGAAAGCTAATTACATAATTTCAGTGGAAACCAGAGTCTCATCTCCACCATGCTGACACAAAACCTGGAGAAATTCCAGTCAAGCTAACGGTGTTCTTGTGGATTTCAAACAGTGAAGCAGAACAGTAATAAATCCCTATAAAGCTAACTGGTGACCATGTA